AACAAGAAGGATTAATAGCAGCAAAAGTTTGCCCTAGCAACAAGGTTTTACCAATAGCAAGAGTTTGAATGATGACAAGAAAAAGATCTTATGTCACCAACAACAAGACTTTGGAACAATTTTTGCGTACAAAATTACAGAGATTTGTTTGCAGAGATGATCTGTCCACTTATTGCGAAATAGAAAATGAAATTAAAGTAGTTTTGAGTTGACAATCTAAGCAAAAAGGAGTGGGCTCCAATTTTAAAGTTTTTTTCAAATTGCTTGTGATATGTGAGTCACCTTTATGTGACAATCTTATTTCGAGCTTCTGAGTTGTCTTATAATGTTAACTTGAAACTTGTGCTATGTATGAGTTATCTTTCTTAACAACTGTATTTTTGTGCTTCTTGAGTTGTCTTTGAGTACTGGCTGCCTTTGCTCTGTGCCATGCATGGTTGAATATTCCATGCTCAAAATTAAACCTGACCATGTTCCCTCTTAAGCTCATCCGCAATAAGTTTTCATAGTCATGATTATGCTAATAATTTTATTTCAAAATGTTAATTTTTTTAAAGACAAAATGTTAAATTTTAATATGTAAACAAACTAATTTAAATTTTATGAATATGTCCTTTTTAGTCTTTTTACATTTATCAACTTATCAAAAAGCTAATTTTACCAAACACCTTCAATCATAACAGCTAGCTTAACAGCTCTTCAATTTTCAGCTCCGAGCTTATAGCTTTTCAGCTTTCAGCTCTTTTTCAGCTTTCAGCTCCTAGCTTATAGCTTTTCAGCTAAGTTTGCCAAACAGAGCCTAAGTCTATTAAGTGCATTTAAGCTAACAATTATCCAAATATAAACTAATTCTAATTAACATAGGCTTGGAATACCGTCAAAATAAGTTTCATTCTTAACTTTACCAATTCTAAATATATAAGAGTTAAACTTTGTCAAACTCAAATAAAATGACTAAATTAAACAAAGTCATACATTATTCAATTAAATTTCATACTATATAATTTCATGACTAAGAAAAGAAAATAATTTATAATATTATACTACTAATGCCATACTATATCAGTTCATCACATGCTAGTCGTCTTTTCCTTGATTCCTATGCTTCTTGTGCATGCATGCAACATCTTTTTTATTCTTGTCGCATATTCCGGTAATGTTGTCTTTATCTTGATTTTTGTGCTACGTGAGTCATCTTTATGTGTGTTATTGTGACATGTGGGCCATTTTTCTTTGCCAACTATCTCTTTTGAGCTTTTGACTCTCTACTCCGAATATTTAAAATATTATTAGTTTGTCTCTCAGGGACTCTAATGACCCGTTCCTAATTTCTTGGTGGTCTGGTAACCAGTGGTGGAAGCCCTAGGTCGTAGCTTGCATTGCTTATGCGTGGAATCTATTGCCCTTTTTCTCCGGGGATTTATGGGAGAAACGAAATAATTCTAAAAATTTTAATTCTATATTATTTTTTATGTGATATATTGATATACGTTTGTGATATTCTTAAAACCCTAATTTTATATCATCTATGAAATTTCTAATCAAAATGTCCAAGTATCAATAATCCAATCAAAATTTTCAAGTTGCTTATTGGAATAGTCTTTACCTTGGGTTCCTTCCCTTCACCTACCCATAGTCAACACTAATGAGATCATAAATAAATACACCGATGAGATTAAGTATACACCATAAAAAAAATACAATTAGGATAAAACTTATAAATAAACAGAATGATTGTAATATGATCCATTGGTTTAAACTTGTGCTCACATGTTTCCTCATAGCAAAATTTCACAAAACACAATCTCTAGAACCAATAAAAAGCATCTTGAAGTTAAATATCAAATCTTGCAAAACGAATTCACTTTAGAGCAAAAAATTACATTTTAATTTGGCAAAAAACTGCCGATTAGAGTAGTGAGCAAAAAAAAATATAGCAAAATTATTGACAAAATCCCTGGACTATATTAATATAAGGAATAAGGTTCAAATTGGTCACTGAACGTAACCTGAAAATGCAATTAGGCCACTGAACGAAAAAAAAAGTGCAATTAGGCCACTGAACACTCCAAAAATGTGCAATTTCACCTGATAGCAGGTTACCCTCAATTTTAGCAGGTTATCTGCTTACGTGGCAGCTGAGTTGGCATTTTTAATAAATTTTAAATCATTTTTAATAAATTTTAATAATAAATTTTTATTTAAAAAAATTTTAAAAAAATAAAAACGACTTTATTTAATTTTTTATTTATTTATTTTTTCAATTTTTTATAAAATTTATTATTAAAATTAATTATTAAAAATTATTAAAAATGCCAACTCAGCTGCCACGTAAGCAGGTAACCTGCTAAAATTGATGGTAACCTGCTATTCGGTGAAATTGCATACGTTTGGAGAGTTCAGTGGCCTAATTGCACTTTTTGTTCGTTCAGTGGCCTAATTGCATTTTCAGGTTACGTTCAGTGGCCAATTTGAACCTTATTCCTTAATATAATAAATTCATGGATCACGAACATCATTTTCCTTTACAAAATATGACTATATTTAGAAAATTGGAATTGAACTTTTCTTCAAATCTACTATCGAGTTAGATTATATTATTTTAAAAATTTGCAGGTAAATATTTGTTGTTACAATGACTACTAAAATTTTATTAGTTATCAAAAAATTCAGTATCATTTTTGGTTTAATTGAGTAGAATGATGATGTATTGTTAACAAAATATCATTTCATTTAAGTTTATCTACAAATAAAAAATAAAAACAGTTTGTGAGCAAAATATTATTAACAAAGTGGAGAGGTTATGGTGGAAAACAATGGTTTAATTGAGGAGTATAATAATATTATGTATTTTTAAATATCTACAAAAAGTTCAACAAGCACCAGTGGTCTAGTGGTAGAATAGTACCCTGCCACGGTACAGACCCGGGTTCGATTCCCGGTTGGTGCATTACTATGAGGCGGTGACGACGTGTGCGCATGAGTGGTGATTAGGGTTGCCATGGTTTGTCTAATGATCCTATATCGGATGATGAATAGCGCATCTGAGCCTCTCTAGTTTTTGGAAACATTTAGTTCTCAAACTGTTTTTATTTATTTTTAAGGGTGTTTTTATTTATTTTATTTGTAGATAAACCTAAAAGAAATAAATTAAGTTTAGAAAATACCGGTAGTCATCTTTATCTAGTATTTTTTTTAAATACTATTTAACTCTATTATAATGCAGTATCTATCTATACATAGATTCTTAACCAATTGAAGGACAAAGAATCAATGTCCATTGAGATTTGAACATGTGACCTCCCATTTGGGAGAGCTACAAAGATGTCATTGAGTTACAAGTTACTTGACTTTTAGTGATGAACTTTTAATGTTCCACAATGTTCATCACTAAAAGGTTTGCCACGGTTACAATGCCACGGTTTGTCTGATGATCCTATATCGGACGATGAATAGCGCATCTGAGCCTCTCTAGTTTTTGGAAACATTTAGTTCTCAAACTGTTTTTATTTATTTTTTAAGGGTGTTTTTATTTATTTTATTTGTAGATAAACCTAAAAGAAATAAATTAAGTTTAGAAAATACCGGTAGTCATCTTTATCTAGTATTTTTTTAAAATACTATTTAACTCTATTACAATGCAGTATCTATCTATACATAGATTCTTAACCAATTGAAGGACAAAGAATCAATGTCCATTGAGATTTGAACATGTGACCTCCCATTTGGGAGAGCTACAAAGATGTCATTGAGTTACAAGTTACTTGACTTTTAGTGATGAACTTTTAATGTTCCACAATGTTCATCACTAAAAGGTTTGCCACGGTTACAATGCCACGGTTTGTCTGATGATCCTATATCGGACGATGAATAGCGCATCTGAGCCTCTCTAGTTTTTGGAAACATTTAGTTCTCAAACTGTTTTTATTTATTTTTAAGGGTGTTTTTATTTATTTTATTTGTAGATAAACCTAAAAGAAATAAATTAAGTTTAGAAAATACCGGTAGTCATCTTTATCTAGTATTTTTTTAAAATACTATTTAACTCTATTACAATGCAGTATCTATCTATACATAGATTCTTAACCAATTGAAGGACAAAGAATCAATGTCCACTGAGATTTGAACATGTGACCTCCCATTTGGGAGAGCTACAAAGATGTCATTGAGTTACAAGTTACTTGACTTTTAGTGATGAACTTTTAATGTTCCACAATGTTCATCACTAAAAGGTTTGCCACGGTTACAATGCCACGGTTTGTCTGATGATCCTATATCGGACGATGAATAGCGCATCTGAGCCTCTCTAGTTTTTGGAAACATTTAGTTCTCAAACTGTTTTTATTTATTTTTTAAGGGTGTTTTTATTTATTTTATTTGTAGATAAACCAAAAAGAAATAAATTAAGTTTAGAAAATACCGGTAGTCATCTTTATCTAGTATTTTTTTTAAATACTATTTAACTCTATTACAATGCAGTATCTATCTATACATAGATTCTTAACCAATTGAAGGACAAAGAATCAATGTCCACTGAGATTTGAACATGTGACCTCCCATTTGGGAGAGCTACAAAGATGTCATTGAGTTACAAGTTACTTGACTTTTAGTGATGAACTTTTAATGTTCCACAAAAAATTATATTTTACATATGTAGTCAATAAATCAACAACATAGTTTTAATTTTAATTTTGTTATATTATCTCAAGATTTGTATGTTTTGAAGAAAAACAATATGTGAAAATTAAAGTTTGAATTTACTAGATGCCCTAGAAGAAAAGATTCAATTGTTTCTTAATTTTCTTCTAGATTATGGAACTAGTGTTGTATATTAGTCTTCCCCTCAAACCTTACAACTTACCAACACACACAAATATAATAAAAGATTATATTATATAAGATCTTTTCAAGTGCACTTTACTACAATCTCTTTATATAATAATAATAATAATAATAATAATAATAATAATAATAATAATAATAATAATAAATTCCATTACAGTCTTCGATCACAACCCGTGGGTAAGTGCCGATCTCAACCGGTAAAGTTATCTTTCCTTCGGGGTGAATGATATCGCCTGTGAAACCTGAAAGGGGGGTGCCGATCGGCATGAGTTCGATCGGGTCGAGCTTGAACTTTTGAAACACGTCCATGTAAAAGACGTTCACATTGTTGCCGGTGTCAATCATAACCCTCTGCACATCCGTGCCCATGATATCGATCGTGACCACCAACGCCTCGGCGTTGTAGTCGCCACCTTCAGGCATGTCATTCGGGGTTAAGGTACATTTAAGCTAACTATCAAAATATAAACTGAAGTGAAATCCTAATTAACATAGACGTGCGTGAAATATATATACAACTCAAAAAGAGTATTCTAACAACATATATATACAACTCAAAAAGAGTATTCTAACAACATATATATTTCATAATCTCCAAAGAATAGAGAAATGTATTTATAGTAGTCCAAACCCATGTGATTTTTCAATGTGGATAAAGCTAAGGCTTATTCATAACCTTTCCAAACTATATTTTCCCAACTTCATGCATTGGAGCACTTTGGAATCAATGCCTCATTACTCATTATCTGTTTTAAGTGTATAAATATATAAAGTTCATCTTCTTATATTGGAGAATCTAAATTCACTTTGACACAATCCAAATTGCCGAATTGGTAATGGAACTCCATTAAAATAAGGGAAAAGTGTCAAATTGGCCCCCTAAGTCGGCCGGATAGTGCAATTGGGTCCCCTAACTAAAAAAAAGCTCCATTCAGATACCCTAAACTTGTAAAATTGTTCAATTAAAGTCCAAAGTGACTTGTCCTAAGTCGGCCGGATAGTGCAATTGGGTCCCCTAACCGTTACTTTCATATCTAGTGTCTTTTTAATCTCCCCTATTGTGCATTTGTAGCCGTCCGATTCTTTAATCCTACGGATCTAAATAATCCACAGACCACACCTAAAGCCCTATCCTCACTTGAACTCTACCATATATATATATATATATATATATATATATATATATATATATACATATATATATATATATATATATATATATATATATATATATATATAACAGCCACCTAAACAGCTTTGTGCGTTTTAAAAAAGAATAGCGTTGTTTTTTTTTAATTTTATTTTTTATATATAATATATATTTTAATTAATTAAAAAACAAAAATAAAAGATATTTTAAAATGACACATGTCAACAGTGTGAAGCCTTAACCTGTTAAACAAGTCACTTTGGACTTAATTGAACAATTTTACAAGTTTAAGGGACTTGAATGAAACTTTTTTTAGTTAGGGGACCCAATTGCACTATTCTATCGACTTAGGGGGCTAATTTGACACTTTTCCTTTAAAATAATAATGCTTCAAAAGGACTACTTATATATCAATTTTCTAGCAGTATATTTTCTTTTATAGGATGCATGCATCTCTCGTATATGTTAAAGTGTTGACATTATCTATATATCTAAGTCGTTGTTAGGTATAAAGTGTAAATAAATTTTGATGATACAAAATGTAAAGGAAGATTAGCATTTAGACCTCAAAATTTTTTATTTTGTAGGCCTAAACAATGTGTTTTTGTCATTGAAATATTCGTTATATAATAAGCTAAAAGAGAGTTCAACACAGTATGTAGAAGTTTGCTACAAACTTCATGATAAGGTCATCAACAGCAGACCCTCTTTCCTCTTATGCTAATATAGCTTCAATATTAAGTCTAATACGTGTAATTAAGCAAAGCATCAAAATAACAATTAAAGTGAAATACAATCAAAGTGCAGTGCTTGGTATAATATAGCAAAAAAAATACAGATTGACAATTTTAAATTTTCAAAATACAAAATGAAATGAAATGAATCCAGAATATAGAAACTGAAATTAGAGTAGTTTTGAGTTGACAATCTAAAAGCATCTACAGTTCTACACAGTAGATATTTCTTAATTTTTTGTAGGTCACATGGTGAAGTGGATGAGAGAGAAAGTGGTGAGAGAATGAACCTTTATCTTTTGCAAATGAAGAGTTTTTCTGTTCCCAAGAAAAGAGAAATAAATGGAGAACAAGAGCTATTGTGCTCATTTCGAGCATAGCAAACGCCCAGCCCTGCAAGCACCGTTAGCGCCTTAAGGGGCTTTACTTTTTTTTTTTTTTTTTTTTAATATGTCATATTTCATTTTCTTCTTTTTTCATCTTTTTCTGTTTTTTTTTTTTTCTTCCACCTTCTCTCTCATAATCACATTTACAAAAACTCCTCAAAAACCACAAAAAAAAAATTTCACTACTATGAATGCTCGCAGAAGAAGAAGTGGGCTCAATAGTTGGAGTTTTTTTCAATTTTGAAATTATAAATTGGAACCGTGTGCATCTTGCATGGTGCACGGTTGCACAGCAGTTATGTTGTGCAACCGTGTGCACCATGCATGGTGCACACGATTGCAAAACGACGTCGTTTTGCCTAAAAACGCGCGTCCCATTTTTAAAAAAATCAGTTTCGGTTCTCCTCAACAACATTATTGTGGATATATAGTTATGAATTATTGTGGATATATAGTTCATTCATTGTGGATATTTGGTTCATTCATTGTGGATATTTAGTTCATTCATGCTGGATATTTAGTTCATTCATTCTGGATTTTGTGTTATTCATTCACTGTGGATATATAGTTCATTCATTGTGGATATTTGGTTCATTCATTCTGGATATTTAGTTCATTCATTCTGGATTTTGTGTTATTCATTCACTGTGGATATATAGTTATGAATTTGTGGATATATAGTTATAAACTTGTGGATATATAGTTATGAATTTGTGGATATATAATTCAAATTATGCACAAAAAAATGTTATTGCTGGGAATCGAACCTGATTTTTTTTTTTTAAGTGGGACGCGTGTTTTTAGTCAAAACGACATCATTTTTGCAACATATATAACCGTGTGCACCACACAGCATAATTTGCGTGCATGCAATAGGTATGGAATGAATGATCACTCGGCCAAAACATGTTACAACCATACACTTAGTAGACCTATATCAGAGTTCCCTAAATGGGAAATTAAAAGAGAAACAAGTGTCTTCAAATATGGTTGAGGCTGAAATAGTTATCACGTAGAGGTAAACAATGATATGATAATGCAAAACCTCTTACAATTGAAGATTTCTACCTAGATGGCCACAAATGGAATTTATGGCATATTTCTTATATTGATTTTTGTTAGATGACATCCTAGTTATCATTTTAAATAAATGGTTTCATGTCCCATTCATCTAATAGACCGCTTTGGAAATGAATTTTCGACATTGCCAAATCACACAATTTTGAATATTGAAAATGCTATATTAATCCACGCAGTAAGTCAAATCACAACTTACTTGGCATTATTAGAGATATAAAGATAAATGGTTTCCATATTAAAACCCAACATGATGATTGTAATGACTATCTTTGCATTGTCCCTACTAATTAAGGATGAAATTAAAACCATTCATGAAATGTTCAAAGCAATATATAGTTTTTGGATTATATTTGTCCATTAAAGCTTTTGATGCTTATATTGCTAAGTTTTGGAAATTAATAAACTCACTAAATTGGGCTTTGTCCTGCAAAGCTGGGATTTGATAAAACGATGAAAAGATGGTTTGGCTAATCTTGTAAGGAGGAATAACAAAAGCTATCATGTAAAGCTAAAGAATTTCCCAAAGAACCATTTGTGGAGCTAAGGCATTTCCTGAAGAAACATCAGGAGACCTAAAACGATGAAAAGATGCTATATATGCATATTGCATGCAGAACAAATATGGTTTTGATGAGAGTATTTTTGTGGTGAGATTTGTGTGAGAATATCCTCACACCAGATATCATGCATTCTCAAATGATTGGTTATAGGAGTTAAGTTTTTATGTCTCTCAAACACAATGTACACAATTTTCTCATTAAAATCTAGTCCAAACAAAGATTGGTTATAGCAAATGAAATGACTAACAATAATAGGGAAGCTGGAGGAGAGAATAGGAACTTTGATTTGTCTATGAAGTGTAACCAAACCGTGATCAAGAGTGAGATTCAATTGACTTGGTGATAGCTGACATTTAATCGGGAGGAAACATTTCTTAAGACCATTCATGTAACACTTGGTATTTTCTGGTATGATTTTAATTAGCTATCCTTGGTATGATTTAGTTCGTGGTTTGAGCTTCGTGGACGAAGCATTCTTTAAGAGTAGATTGTGATACTCGGTTTTTTTGCTATTATTATTTTGATAGTAATACCTTCAAAATTATTTTATTATATGATCCAAAATTGTACTAGTCTCTTATCAAATTAATTATATTATGTAGCCCAAAATTATTTTGAAAATATTTTACAAATATTATTTTAGAGATATTATAGTTTCCTAATCCAAGTTATCTTAAGAAAATTATATTGAGCCTAATATTTTCCTAATCCTAATATAACATGTGCATGGGTATGTTTTCCCTAATCATAATGTATATTATTATATAGATATTTTCCTAATCCTAGTAATCCTAAAATATATATTCCTAATCTCTCTATCTACAAATTCTAATAAGAGCCAATAATGTTAAGCCCGGAAAACAAAAAAAATGTTAGTAGTATTATTTCTTAAAATGAATGGTTCATATTATTTTGATTTTAGTATTTTTTTAATGATTTTCCTTATTTACCCACTATTATATTATTTTCTTCCCTTAAATAACCTAAATTCCATTAGTATAAACTTTAGTAACAGAATATTTCGTTAACTATTTATTATTTTTAACTTACTCATTAATTTCTATAAGAAAGGTCTTAGGTTCGAACCTCATCCCAATTAAAGTTGGCATAATTGTTAAACATATACAAATATACTACAAATATGTTAAAATATATTTTAAAAAATATATAATATATAATTTAACATAAACTTTGTTCAACTAATTAGTCCGGCGGCTAAATACATAACATTCAAAGTTAAGCATCAAAGATTATAAATCAAGAACTTTAAAAATCATTTGATTTTTATACATTTAAAAAAACAAACAAAATTAGGTTAAGTTTTTTTTTTTAATTAATTTTTTTGATTATTTAGATCAGAACAAAACTTAATATTTCAATTATACTTTCGCATTATTGGTATGGTTTTTAGGTCGTTATAGTATTTACCAGGACTATGTAGTCCAATGATACCCGGGTTGGATTTTCATTTTGAAGATTATGAGTTCGAGCCTCAGTGGAGGCGTTATTGGTT